AAAAAAAAAAACACTGATTGATCAAATTCTAAAAATGTGTTGTATCTTTTGTAATTAATTTACTCCCTCAAACAACCATAGTAATTATGTTTTTTTTAAACAGAAAAATAATCCCATTCTGAGTCTGTGGCTATTTCAAAAACACTAAATATATATTAGTCAAAAATTATGGTGGTCTTTGATATTCAATTTTTCCAAGAATCACAATGTAAGAGCAAAGCTCAGAAATAATGTGGAGCTAAAAAATTCATTTCTAGTTTGTTCAGGTTTTATCTAGCAGTTTCTCCAACTTCACACGAATCCCACTATTTCATATACTTCTTTGAAATTCCCAGACACATTCATAAGCTTCCAGAAAAATGTTGTGACCACATTTTTATAAAGTGTCTAATAAAAATTCTATCTGAAAAGAAATGATGATAATTCGTATTAATTCAGCCTTTAAACTTTGCCAAGAACTTTCTTATCTATTATCTCATCCGATTCTTTCAGGAATTTTGTGAAATAAGTCTTTGTAAGTATATTCTATCATTTTAATAATGGAGAAATGAGTTATGAAAAAGATGATTTTTTTGTCTTTAATCTTCAATTTTTAGTGAAAACTCTTTGTCCTCCTTTTCAGAAAAGGTTTAATGTTTTTCACTATGACTAGTAAATATGTTTATCTGAATCATGTTGGCATCTAAAGTGTTTCTTAGTATATATGCAAATGCAGGCACTCTTCCTCTGTTTACTTACATTTGTGTAAACTGGAATTGTCATTTAAGAGAAGGTAAAATTACTAAGAGCCAATAAGCAGATTGCGAATGTAATTCTCCTCTTAGATTTCTCCTAGACTTTGCCTGATCTTGCCTTTCATTATCTGAGTCTTAGCTATGTTAAGATAATTGCTCAAATGCAGTCTTTATAATTCTTTTAAAATCTAATCTTACATCTCCATACAACTTTGGATGCCAATATTACCTGTTTACAAATCTTTGTGTTTGTAAGAAAATAAGCCCCCAACTATTTAAATATAAGAAAAACAAGTCACCTAATAACAAATTGATCTTTCAGCAGCAGCATGGAGCTAATACTACCACAGAGATATTTGCTGAATGCTAATAGATTCCTATGTATTTTAGATATTTCTGCTTATGTCAAAGTCATAGAAGTTGAATGGTACAATTTACTAGCTTTTTTAAGGGAAAAGTTTTATATTTTGGGAACCAGCTTTATTCATATATATATTTGTGAGTTTAAGATACAATAAAATTTATGGGGAAAAAAGAAAGCTAGACTGGATATTAGAAAGCCTGGCCTATAGTCAAAAGTATGACACTAACTTACTTCAGAACTTCAGCCATTAAAAAAGAATCTAGTCAATAATTTCTTTGTAAAATGTGAGGAAGTTAAACTACATTGTCTCTAAGATCTCAGCCAGCTATAAAAACACATTATCTGACTAATACTTTGTGATATCATTTCGACCTAATTCAAAAAATAATCAGGCAGTCAAGAAGAAAATTTTTAAAAATTCTGATTCTTAGCTGAAAAAAAAAAAAGAAAAAAATGTTGTGCACAAATAACATTGTGTCCTCCCTCACCCTTCACAATTTGTTTTTGTCTATCATTAAAGAAATAATATTTTTATTTTATAGTTCAAGTAATTTAAGAATCAGCTTCTAAGTTACTGATACAACATTTTA